GGTGAGGGAACCCTGAATGGTAAAAGGAGTTAATGTTAGTCAGGGAGTTATGGGGGATAATAAGGACTTTTTCCAAACATGTAGGGGGATGGTAGTGCTGAAGAGAAAGTAGGCCACTCGCTAATGAGGGGAATGGTGGTGTTAATTATGTCTTGAAATTGCCTAAGATACTGAGCTCCTGAAATTCATCTTCGGCAGAAAACCATCAGGAAAATAAGTTCGGGCAATTAGGAGGTGGGGGAGAATCTGTGTAAAAATAGCCTGGATAATTAAGAGCAGATATGGGAACATCTGAGAACCAGCAAGAAGTGCAAGAAGAGCCTCCTGGCTTTGCTGAGCTCCACCAAACTGATCTCACAGGCACAGGGGATGCAAAGGGCAGATCCCTGCTCTTATGGGGGGAATGCCAGGCTGCAGGGGCACATCTGTCCTCGTATTGTGCTCATGGCAGTGCCTCCTCCACTGCTGTGCTCAAACCTTTGCTGTGTTCCTGGGACATTGGCTGGGACAGGGCTCAGCTGGGGTCAGCACAGACACAGAAGCACTGGCAGTGACATCCACAGCCCTGCACAGGGGCCAGCATGGGCAAAGGCAGCTCTGAGTTCCCCTTAGCTGCTCTCTGTGTTTTTGGGTCCTGCGTATGGCGGGGAAAAGCCCAGTACTAACTCTGATTTTCCACAACAGCTCTGCAGCTGCTGCTGATGTTTGTGCTGGTTGGTACATAATGTTGGTGAATAATAATACCTGACCTGGTGGAATGAGAGCTCTTTTATCAAACGCATTTAAAGAAAAATGACAGTCCATGTAGCTTGTAATGGAATGGATGATAAATCACAAAATGGGGAAAAACAATTGTGTTACTCCTGCTGGTATGAGTTCCTGCTCAGAAGGTCTATATGTTATATTTTTTGATGACATAAATATAATGGAATTCTCTAGAAATGCTGACCAGAAGTCAACATACAACGCAGTCTCAGGAAGTTTCCTAATATCTTTGTTTGTTTTAGGTAATAGATCTGTTGATGTGTATTTCTCCTATTGAGTGCTGTGATAGGATGCTGTAATGAGATTACAATATGGAATGGGAGCTCAATGAAAGTGGCAGTATCAGAAATGTCACCCCCTAACAAATTAGCAGTTGCAGTTTGCCCTCTGGTTACAAAACCTTGTTCCTTTTGTCTTTTACTGTAACTTATAATAACAAAGCCTGTGATGTAAATGTCTGCAGGGTATGTTTCCAGTAGCTAAGCGTGAAACATGTTTCAGTGGGGATACGGGGGAAAAGCAGACATTTTTTAAAATTCAAGACAAAGGATTTTTGGCCTTGGGCACTCCAGCTGCAGCTGCTGTCAATACAGGGAAGACAGGACTGCATTTTCTATTTATTTTTTTCTTTAAAGAAGGAAAAGATGCCCAACTATCTGATTATAGAACCCACAATATTAAAATATCCACAGAAAAAGTAGTAATTAATTCCTTTGGAGTCTGACTTGTGATGGAAAAGTTGCACATATCAAATGAGTGAGCCGTAGCTTGGATTTACAGCCTCGGAGCCTGGAGATCAAACAAGGACCTAAAATGAGATTTATTTTATTTTAAATTTTATTTCTAGCAGCAACTAGGAATTCATGGGACTCATTGCAAAGCCCAGTGCAGAGAAGCCACATTGACTCCTATTGTTTCCCTTCATTTCAACAAAAGAGCCAGAGCTCATTGGTTAGGTATAAGGAAGTGCTGGGTTTCATTTTTAAGATGCTACAGAGCAAGCTTAGATTATAGCTGCTTGATACATAATAGTGACACTTCACTTATCCAGGCAACTGGGTAGTGCCTGAATAGTGCCTGTGGCTTAATTATTTACCTGTGGCTTAATTGGGTGTAATTTTACTGAAGAGTCTGTTTATTTTCCTATGGAGAGGCTCTAAGATGCTGCTAAATGAGAATGTTACCGGTCCCTGCCGGTACCCCTCACATCAGCAGTGCAGAACTCGTTAATACCTGCAGAAATTTGGCCCTCGTGATGTTTTCTCTGGTGCCATCAGCCTGTGCTCTCTGGGCACCTGGTGAGCAGCTGGGACCTCCATTGCAGGAGCAGAAATGTTCTGTGGTAGCAGGCAGAGCTCTCCATGCTCTCCCTTTGTTGTTTATTGGCCTCTCACTTGGTTTTAATCCTGTACAAATTCCACACCGTTCGGTATTTCTGTCTGAGAGCTCACAAGGATGACTTGTTTAGGGTCAGATATTCCAAGTTATGCTCACATCAGTGTCTGTGGGTATTGGATAGATACACAGACAGACCAAGGACTACACCCTGGACAAGCCATCCTTATTTAGATGACCCTTTCAACATCAGTGTGTTGTTCTTGTGTGTCTAATAGTCTTCCTGTGTGAGGATTGAATATCAGAGCTTTGCAAGCCCTGGCTAGAAGCTAAGCCAGCACTTATCCAAGATGTGCAAAAGCTCTTCCTAGTGCTCTGCCCATGGGAAGTGCTGGGGAAAGATGTTTATCTCAAATATCCATTTAAATCAAACCAAATGTGCTCGGACATGTTCTGGCTAGATTTTGAATTCAGAAAGCTCTGATTTTCTTTCCCTTCCCATCCTCAGTCCAGGACCCTCCTTTTGAATCCCTGTAGGCAATTTCCTTACAGTACTTAGAACTCCAATCTTCATTGGACTTCCACAACAACAGAAGCTTTGTATCATTGTTTTTTTTCTCTCAAAATGCTTAGTTTCTATTAACAACCTTACAAAAGGGCAGTGTATTACTACTTGGTGATCCCAATGATAAATGAAGCACATTATATGTGAAGTAAAGGCTCTATTTATCCTTGCTTTAAAAAAAAAAAAAAAAAAAAAAAAAGTCCCAGCAGGTTTAATGCAAGTAGCTTGCAGTGACCTTCATAACAAATCAAGAATAAACCTCAGTGCATTCTCACAGAGGTGAATGGTGTTGCAGACTCTTTTTATTGAAATAACAACAATAAGAGTGACGAGTTGTATTATTAGTATTTGATAATGCAAAAAAATTAATGCTCACTGAAAACCAGGTGCCAGCACTACTTGATTGTTTACCAACATAGTCATAAAGAAACAGAGTTATTAAAGGATCTGAAATCACTCAGTAATTCAGCTGCTGACATTGATGGATGGAACTTGGCTGTTCCTCTTTGCAAAAGCTGCTGACTGGATAAATGTTTTATTCATGAAGCCCCGGGCAGGAAGAGATGCCAAAGGTTTAAGAATATTTTAAGAAACTCTTTGAGATGTCAAGCAAGTTATCAGGTGTTGTTAAGCAAAGGAGCTGAAGTACTACATTTAAACATAACCGAGCTCTCAACATATACAACAACAATACATCAAAAGCCAGGATGCAATTCTTGTCTCAAGCAGCATATGGATGATGAGTTAGGAATACAAGTCCTTTTATTTCCTGCACCTTTGTACCTTCAGTCATCTCACAGCCCTGTCTCTTTCAGCATTGTTATCCCAAAGGGAATTTTTACACATCATGTTTTGAATTTAGTCTTGGAAACAAATAAATATTTAGATACCAAGCCCTACAAGGTCACACATTCAGATCAAAGACAAAATAGTGATATGATGACGATGTTCATGGAAATGAACAGTTGAGATCAGAACTAGCAAGTTCTGCCTGAGCTCTTGGTGGGAGATGTTGTTCAAAGTGCTAATTAGTGCAAGAAGTAATTATCAAAATACAGAATAACAAGGAATTTCCTTCTGCCCCTTTCACCCTACTCATGCTTCCTCTTTGTCTCAGGGCAGTGTTCAGCAAGGGCAAGCCTACAGCTCCTGACCCATTTGATGAGGCAGTGGTCGTTTGCAGCAGTTGTAACTTAGGTGATTACTTCAATGCCCTGTTCCTGCTCTGTGAGAATTTTTCAGATCAGATACTTTGTTGATTTTTTTTTTTTTAATTTTTTTTTTTAAGTGGAAAGAAATGTTTTGTAGAAAGAATTTTAATGAAGCACTCTATAGCCCCACAAGCTCCTCCATGGACAAGTGTTTGAATATTTCATAATCTATATTAATAACTTCTTTTAAGTTTCTACAGTCTCATAAGAGCAGAACAGATGAGCTCTTGATGGAGCTGAACTGTCAATCTGAACATAGTGACATTAGAAAATAGCTCTGTTTCCAAGACTAGCTGCATGAAATGTCCCTTCTTGCCAAGGGAGCAGCAAAGTACAGTTTAAATGTCCACTATTATGACATCTCAAGAGTATAAAAATGGGGAAAGGTATTAAAAATGAGTAATTAAAAATGAAGAGTGATAGGTAATGGTGAATAAAAAGTAGGTAAGTACTGCTCTTCCGCTGCCCTTTTGGTTTGCAGAGACTCGGCTAAAGACCAAAAGCATATTTCTCACCGGCCCCAGTTAAAATTCAAATCCTATGGACTGACAGTGCAAAACACTGTCAAAAAAGCTGTCAAGTTGTATCAAATGAATTACTGTATTACCTCTCTTTATCTGTCAAAGGCATTGATTATTTTCAGTGGAGGGAGCCCTCTGACAGTTGCTGAAACTGAAGAATCCTGTGTTGAAATAATTTGGTTGACACATGTCACTATTTCCTAAACAGACAAGTCAAATATGTTATTTTTGTCTCCATCTGTGGAGAAAGCATGGTTATGTAGTATTTTTGTGGAAGATAAATAATACAGAGAGAGAGGAACATCCATTAGCATTTCACTTTCTCTGCTATTTTTATGGATGTTTTTATGTAGTATCTTTATAAAGATGTTCCTCTTTGCATAAGAACTTGTGTGCCTTTGGTGGCTGTGATATGTGTCAAGGATTTTCTTAGATGCCCCCAACTAATTTAGATAGTCAGCAAACTATACTGGTGCCGTTCTTGATTGCAGCTGATAGTTTACTGTTGACTGCTCTAAACTTCTATTTCCTACCACTCCTGTGCCTGTAGCAGTGATATAGGTGTCATATATTCCAGAGAACGCCTCTTTATATTGCAGATGGACGAACCAACAAGGACAAAGTAAGAACTACATCATGGAACTGCTGCCAGCTTTTGGAATGAACTTTGTGCCAAACTCTGCGTTGTTGCTGATTTTCACGTGATGGTTGTGGAAACACCCGGTTTTATCAGAGCTGGCTTTGCTGAAGATGCCTTGCAGGACTGCAGAAAGGGAAGCCCAGCTCTCCTCCAGCTCAACTCTGTCGCATCTAGTACAGCTGAAACTATACTAAAGGAAGGACATGTCCAACTCCCTCTCCTGGGAGCAAGCTGATGAGTGACAGTGTCATGGTGAGTTACTGACCATTAAAAGGTGAGAACTGGCTTAAGCAGCATCAGTCAGAGAAGGCTAATACGCTTGTACTAAGTCTTTATTATTCATTAGCACATATTGTGCTTCCTCATAAATATAATTCAGGCTACACTTGTATTGCATTAAGATAACACTAAATCTTTCTATAATTTGAAGGAAATACTGCTCCCAGCTGTTGTTGCCTAAATGAGCTAAACAAAATCTGAATAAGTGCAATGGGAACAACTGTGAAACTTCACCTGCATTTGGCTCTGATGTCTTTTGGTGTCGTTTGTCACAGAAATGGTTGCTGGCTGACCTCTGAGCTTGTGAGCACTGTGGCTCTGGACAGACGGATATCACATCTTGACTGCTCTTGAGATGTCCCAAAGTCTTCAGGTATTACAGCACTTCTGCTGATTTTGGGGGAATTGAGCAACTCAAGGAGTGATGAATTGGACTGACAGTGGAGTAAGTTGTTATGAGCAACCTGATGGTCCTTCCCTGTGCCCTGGAGCATGTGTGAATGTTATTGGGGTGCTGCAGCTTCATGCAGCCCACATTGAATATTGCTGGAAACAAGGTGCAGTGGGTCTGGCAGCCAGTTTCTCAGACATCCAGCTGCCTCATTTAGTCTCATCATGAAAGAAGTAGGGCCCTAAATTCCAGCCATGACCTGACCTGTGGAGCACATCCCTGTTTACACAGAAGTAACCTGGATGAAGTCCAGCATTTAAGCACGTTCTCTATTGCTGGCTTCTCCTGAGGCTGTATGCTTTTCAAAGAGATATCGCTGTGGTTTGTATTTGTGCACTGTTATAGATAGGGTCCTTGCCCATGTGGCTGCTCAAGAGCTGCCAAGATGACTTAATAATAATACTAAAAATAAACACGTGTAAATACGGATAACAACAAGCTCAGAGTTCTGACAGCTCCAAAAGGCTTTGATCTTGCATTGGTAGGGATCAGGATGCACCACCTCTCCAGATGACAGGCTTGGATGGAGAGGAAAAAAAAAAAGCAATAAATGTAGCCTGTAAAGTATGCCTCCATCGTCCTCCCCAGAAACCCTCCTCCATTATGTCTGATGATTTACTAAGAGAGTGTGGCTAAGTACCAGCAACAAGCAACTGAAAAATTAACCCCAGCAAGCTGACAATGCCACACCTGACCCCAGAAGTGTGTAGTGTTGGTCAGCCAAGTGGTAATGGCTTTGTGTAAAGCAGAGGAGAAATGTGCCATTAAATGAGAAGCAGAGAGCGGGCTGCTGAGCGGTGATGGCTGTTAAAAGATACAAACCAAAGCGTGGCCCTGACAGTGCATTATATTCCAAAGATAAAGAGAGGCAGAGGCAAAAGCAAAACAAATGGGGCTTCTCTGTACAGATGGCCAACAGGGAATTGCAACATAAAACCCCACCAGCCGGAAATTACGGCCACGGACAGCCTGCCTGCTGGGGAGAGAAACCCAGCTCTCAGGGCTGGTGCTGGCCAAAAACCTCCTGGCCAAGGGGAAAATCCTGCACGTGGTTTGGAGGAACGTCTGTCCAGCTGTGCTAATGGCTGCTGGTGCTGTTGAACTGATGGCAGTGAAGGAGTGTGATTTAGGGGGGAGTGGCAATCTGTGATTTCCTTTTTTTTTGTCTAACTGCAGATTTGGTTTTTGAGTAAGTCGGATTTATGCTGCTTTCAGACAATTTTGCTAATAAGGCGATGAGTCAGAGAGCCCACAGCAGATGGGAATTTTCAGCTGAGGTAGAAACCATTGTTTTTTGTTTTTTTCCTAAAAGGAAAGTAGCTATTTTTCTTTTCCAGAAAGCTGACCTCTGGAAAATGTGATGATTTTTCCTTTCTAGCAGAAACACAGCTTTTTCAAATAACACCTAGTTATGCTTCTGGACTCTTATATAATATACACAAGTTCTCAACAAAAATGAATAACCTGTGATGGGTTGGTGTGTCATATGCTGAGGGAAATAAATAAGTAAATCTACATAAAATCAGCTTCTGTAATTAATGACATCTCAGAAGGCATTTCCAAAGGCTGCAGTACCAAGCGGTGATGTGAGATGAGCTCTTCAGCTATCTGAAGAGTAAAATGTCTGTTCCTGTCTGTGACTGCAGGAGGCCGCTGCTGAGAATTTGGGAATAATTCTCTGGTAGGAACATATTTTACCTAAATCCTTGGAAAAGGGAATTCTATCTAGATGTGAAACTGCTGAAGATTCCCTTCATCTTTCTTCTTCCTCTTGTGGATGTTCAGAAACTTGATTCTCGCTGAAGTAATTCAATGCGTTTTTTGAGGGAACAGCATCCACTCTATAGGATGTCTGTGAAGAATGGCAGTGAGCATGAATATATCATTATAAAAAGACATTCTGCATTCAGAAAACCACATGTGGTCTGAATTTCTCTGAGAGGGGTATTTCTCAGACTATGGAAGTGTGTGCTACATAGGTCGACAAAGCTTTTACTGGCGCAGTTTTGTTTAGAATGCCTTTGAAGCTTGTCATGTTTACCTTTCTTGAAAATTATGTTACAAGCAAAGGAAGTGGGTTTGCTTGGCTTGGTGCTGGGCATGTGAGCACACTCTGGGAAGAGACAGAGGCTCCTTCCCTCCATTCCTCTCTATATGCTTATGGTGTAGGAAAAGCAAGATAAGGTTTGAGATTTAAAAAAAAAAAAAAAAAAAAGTTTAAAAATAAGTTATTCTCCTATTTATGCTTGAAAACATGCATTCTTTAAAAATCATCTCTCTAAATATGCTGAGTAATCACTATATGATCATTTGTTTATTTATCAGGCACCAATGTGCCTGTGCCCACAAATGGGTGAAATCTGATGCTCCAAAATTTAATCAAATCTAAACATGGTTAAGGGTTTCCTTCACATTTACTGAAGCTTTATTATTCATCAAAATGCTGATAGGAAAAAATTGATGCGAGTGAAGTTACTATTAATTGGGTGGTACAATTGCTCTTCTAATGGGGTAAGTTGCAAATCAGAAAAAGATCTTGAGAGCTCAATGGAAAACATCTGCTCGTGTCTGAGCAGTGATCAAGAAAGCATAAATATTAAATGGCATGACATTAATTTGCTGAATAGAGGACAACACTGAAAATATGACAGTGTTGTTCTAGATGATGGTGATGTGGCCTCACCTTGAGAGGCATGTTTAGTTTGGTTACCCTAATTAAAAAATGATAGAGCAGGAAATAGAAGAGGTTCAGTGAAGGGCAACAAACCTAATCAGAAGCATGGAAAATACTTCAGGGAAGATTTGCATGCAGGCTGAGACTGCAAAGGTTAGATCTGTTTATTTTAGGGAATACAATACATGAGTTGTGCCACTGAGAGACACGCTGTGATGGATATAAATAAAATGGCAGCACCATGACTCTTTCCTCTGTTGGATAAGAAAGAGACATCAAATTAAAATCAAAGTAAACACATTGAACAGCTTTAATAGGAACCACTTTTAACCTTAGTTTTAATTAGCCTGTGGGACTCATTGCCACAAGGTAGAACATTGAGACCGACAGATTGGCGTCGTTTATATGACTGGAAATATCATCTCCAGTTAGATGGGCTGGAGTTTCATCTTCTGTACTTCTGTGCATATGCTCAGTGCAAGTCCTCCCTTACGCGTACTACTGCATAATACTCCATTACGGGATTTTATGGGGCCTTTTGAAGCATCTGACAGAGGTTGGTCTCTAGGCCGTTGCTTAACTCTAGCATCTCATGCTAGTGACAAAGACTGAGCTATAGTTCCTGGACGAAGAACATAGTTGCAGAAGTTTGACTTGTTGGTTTTTTCCCCTCTGCACCTTTACTGGCTTTCCTGTGAGTGAACCAAATACAGTGGAAGAGAAGAGGTTTTTGCTTCTATGGAAGGTGTCCATTTGCCCATTCTGGACTTCTTTTTTTTTACTTCCTTTGCCGTTTTAATAGCTTACATTCCTTACAGTCTTTAATTATTGCACATTTCTCATTCCAAACCAGCTGCCATCCATAAAGTGGTCTAGCAATTATTTCTCTGGCTTCAGAAAATGGCTATCATGAATTCAACGGCACTAGGAACAGGTGGACTGCAGAATGCCTGTTTGATTTTTGGTAAACAGCATTACAAAATTGGCACTTTGACTCAGTCCCTCTAACAGACTAGTTGTACAGCTTCTGTTAATAATATACTGCATATTTTCCGTTGTCACGGCATACGTTATTTGTCATTGCAAGACATTCACTGCTTTTTTTTTTTCTTTCAGAAACATGTGTAAAGTTAAAAATGTGTATGAAATACCCATGGGATGGAAATCTTTCCAAAATGCACAGTGGTTCTTGGTTGGAGAGAACCCTTTGGGAATAAGGGAGGGTGCAGATGAGCAGGCAGAGTCAGAGCAGGCTGAGCACGGCATATGGAGCCAGCACAGATGCTCTGCTCTGTGCAGTTCCTGTTCTGTGCCCAAAAATTGTGCTCTGAGACACTTTGCGCTTGTCGGACAGTTTAGCCTAATAGAGAGCTGGTAACTTGGCACATCAGAATCCTGTGGTCTGTTCTTGGCTCTGTGCAGCCCTCCTGGGTGAGCTTATAGAAGATGCGATAACAACCTCAGTCCTCTGCAAAATGGCGTTTCTAATCTTCTGGTCCTATACACAGGCTGTGCAAGCTACAGAGGAAAATCACAGAATCATTTGAATTGGAAGGGGCCCTCAAAGGCCATCTAGTCCAACTACCCTGCAATAACAGGGGCATCTACAGCTCCATCAGGTGCTTAGAGCCCATCCAGCCTGACCTTGGATATCTCCGTGGATGGGGCCTCCACCACCTCTCTGGGAACCTACGCCAGCACATTATTGCTGTTACTGTAAAATACTTCTCCTTATATCCAGTCTAAATTTCCCAATTTAGTTTGAAACCATTTCCCCTTGTCCTGTCACTGTAGACCCTGCTGCAAAGTCTGTTCCTTTCCTTCTTATAGTGGATCTTCTGCTACTACCTGCCCAAGGACGCAGGAGATGTAGGGTGCCTTAGTTACTTTGCTGCCCTCTCCGTGTCACCTGGCAGAGCAAGGAGTAGGCAGAAGAGCAGCCTTCATGTCTGTAGGCAGCTCCTTGAGAGCATTGTGCAGAACTCATTCTTCATTTCGGGTTCAAAGGAGCAGTAAATAGGTTCCTTTCTTACAGCACCTCAGGAATGGCTGCTTAGTGGTGACCGGGGAGATGATGCTATGGCACTGCTCCACGTACGTGCAGGGAGCCTGCTCCTTGAGGAGTAAGGAAGGGAAAGATGCAAACTATTCTTCTTTTCCAGGAAGCTAGAGATTTGCTTCTTGCATGTTAGCAGCTCTTCCTAGGACAGCAAGCTGATGGTTCTTTATCTTAAGGGCAAGCTGGGTG